CCACTGGCCTCTGACTACCTTGGAGGATCAGCTGTGCAGGGGCCCCACCACACAGCACGACTTACTTCAGCAGGGCTCTGGTACCCACTGAGTCCACTCACTGACTGTGTCACTTGTGGAGGTGGTGCTTCGATGTGGTCTGAAGCTGTCCACTGCGTGTGCTGGCTGTGGGGCAAGGTCAGCCATGCCTGTGTCCTACCCGGGACCACCCGGCATAAGCTACAAAGTGATCTGCCGATGGCTGCTTCTTGTGCTGGGCTGGGAGGTGCCCAGGAAAAGCCAAGTTGTGAACCAAGGCTGGCTGCTCCTAATGCCAGGCCTGGGGCCACTTAAAGAGAGGTATGGGGCTTGCTGAGACCAGATGCTGCTTGTTTGAGAGATTTTAGGAAAATCTGCAGCAGGATCCAGGCAAGCCAATCCTAAGGTAAAGCCATTGGAAACAGCTTGGGTGGGCCTGAAAGTTGGGTGGGTCAGGGCCTCAGGGAATCACTAGGGCAGGGCAAACAGTGTGATCCTGGTTGCTGGAGTCCCAGATATGGTGGCTGTCTGCCACCCCGCCCTTGGGGAAGGGCTCACCAAAGGAACAGTGGCCTCCACCGGCATGTGTTTCTGGGAGAAAGCTGCCTCTCCAGCTCTCGTCCAGGCCTGAAGCCAAACAACTCAGTTCTTCCCTGGATGTGTCTGGTGCCTTTCAAGCTGCCTCCCCTCCAAACTCAGAGGGAGCAAGCCCCAGTAAGTCTATGTGAAGGTCCTTTAAGAGGATCTGCCTGGGGCTCCAGGAGCCTCAGTTCTCGCTGGTTTTCATGGCCAGGATTTATGGGGGCTTTTCTTCCTGGTACTGGAACCCTGAGCTGGGGGACCTGGTGTGGAATGGGGACCCCTCACTGCTCAGGGAGGACCTTTATTGCAAAGGTATCCCTCCTAGGGATTTTTATTTGCCATACGTTGGGATGGGGCCAGCCTGTATGCACACTGCCCCTCCTACCATTCTCAATGTGGCTGCTGCTTTAGTTTTGTAGTTGTAGGACTTCCATTCAGCTTGATTTCATGTAGTTCTGAATGCTGATTGTTCTGTAGTTTAGATGTAATTTTGATGTGGTTGTGGAAGAAGGCTAGTACTGCAGTTATCTACGCTGCCATCTTGACTGGAAGTGTCTGCACATCTTTTCCTATTCCCACTCACCCCTTTTCAACAGTCTTTCTGGCCCTTAACTTTAGATGTTTCCCAAGGTTCTGTATTCAGCTTTTTTTTTCCATTGTATTTCTTCATTCTGCGAAATTTCATCAGCTACCAAATTTCTATCTATAGCCACATTTTTTTCTAAATAGACTTCTAACTTAAAATTACCCACTTAATATTGATACTTATGTTCCACTGATACTTAAAATGTGAAGATATGTCAAACTTCACAAATCAGTTCCTCTCACTGGGTTCCCCAACTTTATTAATGTAAGGGCCTCCTTATTTTGGGCTGGAAAACATGTTTCCAACTTACTTCTTCTCCCTTAAAATTCACTTCCTTGCAGCCCCTTCAACCTTGACCAATACCTGCCCATCTTAAAGAAATATTAGTTTTGCCCTGGCAGGTTTGGCTCAGCAGTTACAGAGTCGGCCTGCGGTCCAGAGAGACCCGGGTTTGGTACCCACTAAGGGCACATACCTCGGTTGCAGTTTGCTCCTGGCCCTGGTTGGATCATGTGGGTGGCAGCCACTTGATGTGTCCTTTTCACGTTGATGTTTCTCTCTCTCTCTCCCTCTCCCACTCTATCTGAACAAAATACCGAAAAATGTCCTCGGGTGAGGATAAAAAAAGAAAAAAGAAATATCAGTTTTGTTTCACAGTTTATTAATTCATCAATTATATATAAAGCAACTGCTATGTGAAAGAAACTAGTCTAGGCATTAGGGATATAATAGAAAATAAAACCTTCAGGTTGCCTGCATCATTAGAGCCTACATTCTAGTGGGCACACAGACAATAAACATATAAACAAATAAGTGAACAAGATAATTACAGATAAAAGTGCTATGAAGTAAGAGAGTAAAATGATAGTAATGAAATAGTGAACTATTTATTTTAGGTGGTCAGTGAATGTCTTTCTGCAGATTTCATATTTTAATTTTAAGCAAAACAAGAAATATGAGGAAGAGATAGTATTTCAAAGCTATCCTTTTCTGTTATAAAATTTTATTTTTGTCTGAATATATAAATGTGTATGTATAAAGCAGTTTCATTGTAGAATTCATTATATTTAATCCAGCGCTTTACTTTTAAGAGATTTATTTATTTCAGTCCTCACTTGAGGACATGCTTACAGAGAGGAATGAAGGGAGAGAGAGAGAGAAAGAAACAAACTTCGATGTGAGAGAGACACATTGACTGGTTCCCTTCCATATGCACCCTGACTGGGGATCAAACCTGCAACCCAGGTATGTGCCTCGACTTGTAATCAAACCAGCAGCTCAGGACGATCCTCAACCAACTGAGCCAAAAGCTTTTGATTTAAATTGAGTCATGTGCCCTGGCTGGTTTGGCTCAGTGGTAGAGCGTCAGCCTGTGGACCAGTAAGACCTGGGTTTCATTCCGGCCAAGGGCACGTACCTTGGTTGCAGTTCGTGCCTGGCCCTTGTCGGGGTCACATAGGAGGCAACCAGTCGATGTGTCTCACATCGATGTTTCTCTCTGTCTCTCTTTCTCCCTCTCATTCTGTCTAAAAATAAATGGAAAAGTATCCTTGGGTGAGGATAAAAAATAAAAATAAATTGTATCATGTTACATGTTGGCAGTTAACTGGCTTCGGATGAGATGAGATTGCAGTTGTGAACATGTAACTCCTGTTCTGAAAGCCCCTACGGTGATCTCTTCATTTTTTAGGCTTCTAATATGGCATTCTGGCCACAATCTGTTGCCTATCTTTCCAGCCTCAGTTCTTACTGCTCTCTTCCTCATACTTTATACTCCACTAACACAGCTGCTTATGGTTCCCTATATCATGTGGTTTCTTGCCATCTTGCTTTTGCCCATGCTCTCTCTTTGACTTATACTACCCTTCCCCGCACATTATCTGAGGTCCACCTTATATTTATGCCTTAGTTTATATCTTCATCTGAAGACTAAGATAAGGACCATGACATCTATGTTCTTGGTACTTCCAGAATACATTTTTATTAGTTAGTATAACCACCACATTTCATTATAATGAACTGTTTGAATTTGTCTTTCATTTACAGACTGAAGGCAGGGTATTCTATCTCAGTGACTCAAAATGCCTGGCACAGGGGACCCAGCAAATGATTGTTGAACTGAGCTATATAATTCTAAGTAGGCGTAGGATTTGTCCATAGTGTCTCTTGTGCACAAAGATCATTAGTACCTCATTAGTGGACTGGAAAATGATAGTCACCATCTGGAAGGCATTTGATTAAGTCTGCTAATATCTTCATAGACAGATAAAGTTATGCTAACTTGTATAAGTTAGTCACTGGGTGAAAGCCCAGGACATAAAAAGAATGCTTTAGAACAGCTGTTCATCAGACTGCAATGAGAGCTTTAGTTGTAGGTAGGGCTCTCCCCAGGTAAACAATTCACTTGGGATGAAAAGACAGAAAATATGCTTACCAGATCTTCAGGTAACACAAATCTGGGAAGCATAGCAGCCTATTTTAGGAGACCATCAGTACCTAAAAAGATCTTGACAAGCCAGGTGATCTAAGGAAATGAAGTCTGGTAGGGAAAAATTAATGTATCAAGGGTTGGGGAGGAACCCTGACTGCATAAGTGCAGTGTGGGAGCCTGAGCTTGGCAGTAAGAAAGGTGGCAGACTGAGGGACACTTGCAGAGCACACAGTAAATGTAAGAGAAAATATGGTGCAGCTGCATCAGAAAACTTTTATTAACAAAGATACACTATGTCTACATAAGGTTGACAGGAGCCTCAGGTACTATCTACGATGCTGGGCCATTTCTCACTTAGGCTATTTAGTCCTGGGCCTGGTGCATTTGGAGGGAGATGGTAACACTGGAGGAATGTTCAAAGAAGAGTGATCAGAATGGCTGAACTATTGTATAAGGGATAGATGCAGAATTGGGTGTGCTAACCAGCAGAAGAGGAGACTCGGGCAAATATACCTGCATGCATGCATGCATGCAAGCATGCATGCCTGCATTTATTTATTTATTTATCCATCCATCCATCCATCCATCCTCACCCAGGATTTTTTTCTCCCATTTATCTTCAGATAGAGTGGGAGGTAGAGAGAGAGAGAAAAAAAAATCTATGTGAGAGAGACACATCAGTTGGTTTCCTCCTGCACAACCCTGACCAGGGCTGGGGACTGAACTGCAACTGACTGGAATCAAACCCGCAATACTCTTTGGTCCACGGGCCAATGCTCTAACTGCTGAGCCAGACCAGCCAGGGCTATTTATTTATTTTTATAAGTATGTTTTTACTGATTTTAGAGCAAAAGGAAGGGGGAGAGAGAGACAGAAACATCAGTGGGAGGAGGAAAGATCAGTAGGCTGCCTCCTGCATGCCCCCTACTGGGGATGGAGCCCACAACCTTGGGCATGTGCCCTGACTAGGAATCAAACTGGCAACCATTCAGTGCATGGGACAGCGGTCAACGAACTAAGCCACACCAGCCAGGGCTCCAGCAACAATTATTATCCAAAGATGAAATGGGTTACTAGGTAAGAGAGTGAATGTTCTGTTACTTAAGGCATACAAGCAGAAGTTGGCCACCTCTTGGTGGAGATGCTCTCACAGGATTTTCAAATATCACTTGGTAGAATAAACACTCTGTGGCCTACTAACTCGGGAAACCCAAGATCTCTCTCCCCATTTTTCCCAATGGTTATACATTTTATTTTCATAATGAAAGTCACTGAGAAACAGATTACCTTTGCCAATAAATATGTGATACTAAATATATTAGATTTTGTTTATATGCTTTGTGACTTGAATTACTTTTAACTGTAAATTGTTTCTTTCAACAGATGGACGACCTCAGTGGGAGGTAGAAGGGAAAATAATCAGGGAAAAATGTCAAGGGGTAAGAAATTTACCTTATTTCTTTAGAAATATTTAAGAAACTTAATGAGAAAATTAGGTAATGCTGCTTATGGTATAGATGAGGAATCTTTAATCTATTGAGTAATAGAAAATTAAATTATAATTAGAAATTTGGATGTGAGATAGGTACTTTCTGATACTAAATTTTAGGAAAGAAGAAATTAGAAATGAAAGATTATTAGAAGTTTCTTAGTGAAGTTTATTTATCTAAATTCAGTGAAATAATAAAACAAATTCAGTAAAGACATATATAGTGGGCAACTATTAGGAGGGGGACAAACCCTCAGTGGTTTGTGTATTTAGCATACTAGTTCCAACTCCTCAGCATCAAGCCATTCGGGATTCAACACAAAGGTGTGGTTCCTTCCTGGTTGGAATGGAGACAGAATCTTCTCTGAGACAGAAAATACCACTTCCCACAGTGCTCTCCAAAGACCTTGGAGAAATTAAGTTAATGCTTGTGTATATTTTTTATAGGGATATAAATTTTGTGTGTTTTCAATTTCAAACATTTTGAATATAAAATGTAAGGTAAGAAATCTGATTATGACATAACTTGGGAAATATTAAACTTGATCAAAAGCCAGAATAGGCCCGGTTGGTGTGGCTCAGTGGTTGAGCGTTGACCCATGCACCATGAGGTCTCCAGTTCGATTTCTGGTCAGGGCACATGCCCAGGTTGTAGGCCCGATCCCCAGTGGGGGGCATGCAGGAGGTGGCTAATCAATGTTCTCTCTTATTGATGTTTCTATCTTTCTCTCCTTTCCTCTCTCTAAAGCAATAAAGAAAAAATATTTAAAAAAAAACAAAAACAATACAGAATAGGCCCTGACCCAATGGGTCAGTTGGTTGGAGTGTTGTCCCATACACCAAAAGGTTCCATTTCCCGTCAGGGCACATATAGGAGGCAATTACTGATGTTTCTCTCTCACACTGATGTTTCTCTCTTCCTCCCTCTCTTTCTAAAAATCAATAAAAACATTCTTACATGAGGATTAAAAAGAAAAAAACAATAAACTTTCAGTTAAGATGTATAGTAACGTAATATTCTGTAGAACAAAGTATTTCACTATACAGTATGTAAGACTATTTCTGTTACAACTAGAAATCCAACTGGGTGAGTAAAAAACAATTTTCTCTTTAATAGTTTACTTTAAAGAACTTATCTCTTTAACGTATTCATAGACTGAAGTATCCATAGAATAAATCTCCAGGCATAAGTTGATGTGCATTATGACCTATGATGGAAGGGCCTGGGTATGTAAGACTCATGAGTGGTGCTGAGTTTAGCAGGTGCATTTCATTTTTAGTTCTGAGTGTAACACAATCTTTTTTTCCGTGCTCCTTAGGCTCACATTGTCCTTGAAGTTCCTCCATATCATAACCCAGCAGTTACAGCTGCAGTGCAGGTGCACTTTTATCTTTGCAATGGCAAGAGGAAAAAAAGCCAGTCTCAACGTTTTACTTACACACCAGGTAAGAAGAGTTTTGATGGTTTACTACAGATCTTTCTTTCATAATGAATGAAAAGCTATTCAGTGCATCCTATATTAGGATGTTCAAGGAAGGGTGGTTTATAAACAGTAAAAATCGCAACACATATCTAATCTCTAAAGCTTGTGTTGACTTTAAATATTAGATATGATACCAGTTGTTATTTTTTAATCATTTATTATAAGAAAATTAGAAGTTTGTAGATTTGAAGTCTGTTTTCCAAAAGCTACCAAAAATCACCAGTACTTCAGGAAGAGCAGGTGTTTGTAAATATGTATGAACTCCCCTTGTGCCCCTAGTGCTGTAAGAAGTGAGCTTTAACAGGGAGTGACATGATAAAATTTATTTCAAAACTTATTTTTTCTACAGTATATACAGGTACCAAATTAACATGTTGTACATCTTAAATTTACAGTGTTATATGTCACATATACTCAATAAATTAAAAAGTAAAAATACAATTATTTTTACCCTATTTCTTCTGTCTCTGTAAGATGTCAGTGATCAGTTTTTTGCAAACTGTGGAGAGAGAGATTTGTATGGGAGAGGCCCAATGTTAAAAAGGTGAAACCCTGGCCGGTGTGGCTCAGTGGGTTGAGCGTTGTCCCATGGACTGAAGAGGTCCTGGTTCAATTCCCAGTCAGGGCACATGCCCGGGTTGTGGGCTCAGTCCCCAGTAGGAGGTGTGCAGGAGGCAGCCAATCGATGTTTCTCTCTTTCACATCAATATTTCTCTCTCTCCTTTCCTCTCTCTCTAAAAACATTTTTTTTTAAATAAAAATATATTTTTTAAAAAGGTTATTCAAATAAGTAGAATGTTTTGAATGCACAGAGGAAAGAGCATTAATAAAGAAGAAGCATATTAGGTTTCTGAGAAAGTTGGGAGGGGATAGGAATTAAAATACAGAAGATGAAATGGGCCTTAATGAGAGAAAGAACCGGAGGAAGGGTAAAGAAAATGAACAAGCCCAGCCCTGGCCAGTTTGGCTCAGCAGTTGGAGGTTCGGCCTGCGGACCAGAGAGTCCTGGGTTTGGTTCCTGCTAGGGGCACGTACCAAAAAGAAAAAAGAAAAAAAGAAAATGAATGAGCCCAGCCACTGTGGCTCAGTAATTGAGCATTGACCCATAGACCAAGAAAGAGGTCACTGGTTTAATTCCCAGTCAGGGCAAATGCCGAGTTTTGGGCTTCATCCCCAGTGGGGGGGCGTGTAGGAGGCAGCTGATCGATGTGTCTCTCTCATCAGTGTTTCTATCTCTCTCTCCTTCTCTCTAAATATCAAGAAAAGTATATTTTTTAAAAAAGAAAAAATGAACAAGATGGGTGTGCATTAGAAAGGTTTGTTGATATAGCATTGGAGAGTTTAGGAGGTTTCCATAGACAGCATCATTTTTTTTTTTTTTTCTGTAAATGATGTAGCGTTTCCTATTGTGAGGAGAGGGGAATGTGGTGATTTGGCAGTTTGAAGAGTGTGGAGAAGAAGTTTGATAGTTGTTGTAAAGATAACAACTAAAGACATACAGTCCAAGAGTTATCAAATGCTGTTGAGATTGGTAACTGTAAAGTCTAACCTGAATTAGAAGGGAGAGGGCTCCTGGGAAGAGGGGAGGGGCAATAGTGTCAGCAGCTTAGAAGGGTTTTTTTTGTGTGTGTGGGTTTTTTTGTGTGTTTTTTTTTGGTACGTGCCCCTAGTGGGAACCCAACCTGGGACTCTCTGGTCCATGGGCCAATGCTACAACCGCTGAGCCAACCCGGCCAGGGCAGCTTAGAGGTTTTGATTACTGCCATCATGGTGGTATTAACTGAACAGAAAACAGAAAGCAGAGTGTAATGCATTGCAAGGACAGTATAAAGGCAGTGCCCAACAGGCATTCCACATGAGAATGGTAATCAGAGGGGCTCCCCGAGTGCAGAGAGAATATTGGATTGGACTACAGCTGTCATCACTGGCCTTGTGGTTGACAGAATACAAATCAAGTGGCACACCAACGAAAGGAAGAATGAACACACAAGAGTGTTTGGACAGCCCTTGTTCTGGTTGATTGCTGTTTTTTCTCTATAGCATTTGACTTTTTTTTTTTAATGAAATTTTGAATAAAATTTTTACAAAAACAAATACATTACTGTGAGTTATTTTAAAAGACAAGTTAAACCCTGGCTGGTTTGGCTCAGCGGTTAGAGTGTCAGCCTGCGGTCCAGAGAGACCCGGGTTCAGTTCACGCTAAGGGCATGTACCTTGGTTGCAGTTTTTCCCTGGCCCTGTGTTGGGTCGTGCGGGTGGCAGCCACTCGATGTGTCCCTTTCACGTCGATGTTTCTCTCTCTCCCTACCACTCTATCTGGAAAAAAAATGGAAAAATGTCCTCGGGTGAGGATTAAAAAAAAAAAAGACAAGTTGAAAAAATATTTTGAAACACCCAAATTTGCCTGGCCAGTGTAGCTCATTGGTTGAGCCTATGCACCAAGAGATTGCTGGTTTGGTTCCTGGTTAGAGCATATGCGTGAGTTGTGGGCTCAATCCCCAGCAGGGGGTGTGCAGGAGTCAGCCAGTCAATGATATTGATGTTTCTCTCATTGATGTTTGTACTTCTCTCCCTCACTTCCTTCTTCTTCCTAAAAATCAATAAAACACCCAAATTCTCTTCCATCTGAAACTATCATTCTGTCCTTATAGATTCTTTTGATCCATATATAGACACATTTAAAAAAATAGAAATGGAACAATCTCATATATAGTAATTTTGTAACATGAGCATTTTTAATTTTCCTCATCAGCAGATAGAATTATACAGAATTTTTAAAAAATGTGTTTTGCCCTGGCCGGTTTGGCTCAGCGATTAGAGTGTTGGCCTGCGGTCCAGAGAGATCCGGGTTCGGTTCCCGCTAAGTGCATGTACCTCAGTTGCAGTTTGTCCCCGGCCCTGGTTGGGTCGTGTGGGTGGCAGCCACTTGATGTGTCCCTTTCACATCGATGTTTCTCTCTTGCGCTCTCTTCCTCTCTCTCCCTCCCGCCCTGTCTGAACAAAAAATGGAAAAATGTCCTTGGGTGAGGATAAAAAAAAAATGTGTTTTTATTGACTTTTTTTTAGAGAGGAAGAGAGAAACATGGACCTACTGCCTCTCACACACCCCCTACTGGGGATCAAGCCCACAACCTGGGCTGGAAATTGAACTGGTAACCTCTTGGTGCATGGACGACATTCAGTTCACTGAACCACAACTGCCAGGCTAGAGTTTTACAGAATTTTAATAGCTTTTTAGTATTCTAGTGTATGACCCTGTCTTCATGTTAGAGTTATTTTGTTTGTCTTGTTAATTTGTATGAACTCTTTAAAGATTTTAGCCTTTATGTTTGTGCCAAATAATTTCTTTAAAAAATTTCCGCCCTGGCCAGTTTGGCTCAGCGGTTAGAGCGTCAGCCTGCGGTCCGGAGAGACCCGGGTTCGGTTCCCGCTAAGGGCACGTACTTCGGTTGCAGTTTGTCCCTGGCCCTGGTTGGTCGTGCGGGTGGCAGCCACTCGATGTGTCCCTTCACGTCGATGTTTCTCGCTCTCTCTCCCTTCCTCTCTCTCCCTCCCACTCTATCTGTAAAAAAAATGGAAAAATGTCCTCAGTTGAGGATTAAAAAAAAAAAAAAAAAAAAAAAAATTTTACCTATAAAAATTTTTAGATATTCTTATGTTATTTGTTTTTTATTAAGGGATTTGTCAATTTGTTATCTTTTTGGCAGCCACTTAGTAATAGAGATCTGACAAATGTCAATATGCAGTGGAGAAATAATCATTAATTGCAAATGGCTAATTCTTTTAATATTTTTTAAAATTAGAAATAATAGCCCAGCTGGTGTGGCTCAGTGGTTGAGCATTGACCCATGCACCAAGAGGTCGCTGATTTGATTCCTAGTCATGACACATACCCACGTTGTGGGCCCAATTCCCAGTGGGGAGCATGCAGGATGCAGCCAATCCATGTTCTCTCTGATTGATGTTTCTGTTTCTCTGTCCCTCTCACTAAAATCAATAAAGGGAAAAAAAAAACTTAAAAAAAAACCCAAAATGGTATTTCCCTCCAAACAACACTAAATTACCATAGACCAACCATGAGGACTTCCTTTTGGTCAGTTTGGAATCTGATTCCTTTATTGACCAAAGAGTGATACTTGATTTGGCAGAATGGAAATACACTTGATTTAGCAAAGCAACTCTCAGTCTGGATACCCAGATGTGGGTCAGGAATGTAGAAATAAGGATTGGATCATTCATAAAAAATGGATGTTATGCTGTAGCTTTTAATCCTTCTGTCTCCTTTTTATTTTATTTTTTATTTATTTTCTATCCTCACCCGAGGACATTTTTGCATTTATCTTCAGATAGAGCAGGAGGGAGAGAGGAGGAAAGAGAGAGAGAGAGAAACATCGATGTGAGAGACACATTGACTGGTTGCCACCCACAGGACCCCAACCAGGGCCAGGGACAAACTGCAACCAAGGTACGTGCCCTTAGTGGAAACCAAACCCAGGACTCTGTGGTCTGTGGGCCAACGCTCTAACCACTGAGCAAATCTGGCCAGGGCTGTCTCCTTTTTAGTACATGATAATCAACTGCTTATATAACCAAGGACCCCACCTGCTCCATTCAGAATTGATTAAGGGATGAGAGTAGGCTTTCTTGGATTTTTTTTTTTCTTTATTGATTTTAGTGAGAGAGGAAGGGAAAGAGAGAGATAGAAACATCGATGAGAGAGAACATCAATTGGCCACCTCCTGCATGCCCCCCAGCTGGGGATCAGGCCCACGACCTCTTGGTGCATGGGTCAGTGCTCAACCATTGAGCCACACTGGCCAGGCTCTTGGATATTCTTCCTCCTCATGTAAAACTGTAACTCTTGGTATAGAATTTACTGTACCAGAGTAGGAGTTGAAGTAGAAGAGGAAAAAAACATCTAGTGGTCCAGGGACAAAGTTCTAGTTTGCCAAAGTCAGAAGAAAAATAGTACATTAAGACATTAGAGAGATCAGGAGCCAGTATACACAGTGAACTATACTTGGAACATCTCAACAAGAATCAGAAACTGGATGGAGGTCTAAATTAGGAATGTGAGCATTGTGGCAGAAACAACATACCCTTTTTCTTTGTCCTTGGGATTTTTGTCTCACCAATTGCCAGATTTAGATAAAGTGGCTGAATGCTGAGTGCGTGCTGTTCTTGCTAGGAAACCAAACTAAAGTGTAGAACTTAAATGCACACTCAAACAAGTGCTTCATTAATTACCTCTTCTACAATAAAAGATATTATCAGGGCTTTCTTAATTCACTTTCTCAGATTGAGACCACACTTACCTGAAGCTACTTGTACTTGGCAAGGGTATGATAAATAGTCAAATGAGATTTGACCTTGCTTTGGAGCTCATAGTTCTTTTCTTTTCTTTTGATGTAAAATGAAATACAGTCAGCCCTCCATATCTGTGGACTCCCAGCCACAGATCAAAAATAGCACAGGTAGCCTGGCCAGTGTTGCTCAATGGTTGGAGCATCGACCTGCATGCTGAACGGTTGTGGGTTTGATTCCTGGTCAAGGGCATGTACCTAGGTTTCAGAGTTGATCCCCAGCCCAGGTCAGGGTACGTGCAGGGGGCAACCAATCAATGTGTGTCTCTCATATCAGTATTTCTCTCTCTGTGTCTCTCTCTTACCCTCCCTCCCTCTCTTCCACTCTCTCTAAATATCAGTGGAAAAAATATCCTCAGGTGAGGATTAACAAAGCAAAAACAAACAAAAAAAACTCAGCACAGGTATTTATTGAAAAGAATTCTGTATAAGTAGGCCCACACAGTTCAAATCTGTGTTGTTCAAGGGCCAGCATTTTGTGAAGGCCATGAAAATTTTAATTATGTTAATAAGTATTATAAACTTGAAAGGAACAATGAGATGTGAATTCAGTGAAATTATTTTTTATTTAAAAAAATTTTTTTAAATTGATTTTTAGAGAGAGGGGGGAAAGGAGAGGAAGAGAGAGATAGAAACATCAATGAGAGAAAACATCGATTGGCCGCCTCCTGCATGCCTCCCGACTAGAGATCAGACCCACAACCCGGACATGTGTCCTGACCAGGAATCGAACCAACAACCTTTTTGTTGTTGTTGTTGTTGTTTTTGGTACATGCCCCTAGCGGGAACCAAACCCAGGACTCTGGTCAGCAGGCCGATGCTCCTCCAACCGCTGAGCCAAACCGGCCAGGGCTTTTTTTTTTTAAGTGATACTTTATTGTTGTTTTAATCTATTTATTTAACTATGAGTGACACAATTCATATTTTTGTTTTTGTTTTTGTTTTTTATGCTCACCCGAGGACATTTTTCTATTTTTTGTTCAGATAGAGTGGCATGGAGAGAGAGGAAGAGAGAGAGAGAGAAACATCGACGTGAAAGGGACACATCGAGTGGCTGCCACCCGCATGACCAACCAGGGCTGGGGAGAAACTGCAACTGAGGTATATGCCCTTAATGGGAACCGAACCCGGGTCTCTCTGGACTGCAGGCCAATGCTCTAACCACTGAGCGAAACCGGCCAGGGCCGAACCAACAACCTTTTGATGCATGAGTCAGCGCCTAACTACCGAGCCACACCAGCCGGGCTTAAAATATGTTTTTATTGCCCTGACCAGTTTGGCTCAGCAGTTAGAGTGTCAGCCTGCGGACCAGTGAAACCCGGGTTTTAATTCCAGCCAAAGGCATGTACCTGGGTTGCACTTTGTCCCTGGCCCTGGTCGGGGTCCTGCAGGAGGCAACTAGTCAATGTGTGTGTGTGTCTCTCTCTCCCCCTTTCTCCCTCTCTCCTAATCTGTCTAAAAATAAATGGAAAAATATCCGTGGGTGAGGATAAAAAATAAATAAAATACGTTTTTACTGATTTTTTTTTTTTTGTTCCTCACCCAAGGATATTTTTCTGCTTATTATCGGATAGAGTGGGAGGGAGAGGGAGAGACCGAGAGAAACGTCAGTGTGATAGAGCCACATCCACTGTTTACCTCCCACACGACCCATCCGTGGCCGGGTTGAACCGCAAGCGAGTTACGTGCCCTTGACCAGAATTGAACTCACGACTCATTGCTCCATGGGCTAAGGCTCTAACCGCTGAGCTAAACCAGCTAGGGCTATTTTTATTGATTTTTTAAAAGAGAGATAGAAACATCATTGTGAGAGAGATACATCAATTGGCTACCTCCTGCAAGCCCCCCACTGGGGATCAAGCCTATAATCCAGGCATGTACCCTGACTGGGAATTGAACCAGGACTTTCAGTCCATTCCACTGAGCCACACTGGCCCAGCAGGAAAATTATTTTTAAATGAGTTAAGGATTTCAGTAGGAAGCTAAAGTAGATAATTTCTAGAAAAGTGGACTCATTGAGCTTGCCAAGAGAAACAATGAAATCAGTTGTCTTGACACATAGTAAATTAATGGATGGTTCTTTTCTGTTTTGATATACATATTAAAATAAGCAAAAGGCATTGATTCCTACTTGAGTGGTCCTTTCATCAGGTAGACTCATCTTAAATCATGAATCTGCTACTTTTTTTGATGTGAAAAGGGGTAGTGGCTGATATTCATAGCCTCTGCTTTGCTGGATGGAATGGTGAAGTGAAATCTTCATTGGTAATACAGTATATTGCAGTGCTTAAAAGCATGGACTTTGTTAGATGGGAAGAAGGGAGAGAGAGAAACATCAATGTGAGAGAAGCACTGACTGCTTGCCTCTTGCAGAACCCTGACCAGGGCTGGGATTGAACTTGCAACCCAGGTATATGCCCTCGACTGGAAACTGAACCCATGACCCCTCAGTCAGTGGGCCAACAGTGAGCCACATTGACTAGAGCGTTAATTTGTTTTTGTTTTTTAACTTGAATACTTTTAGAATAACAAGTACTGTCTGTTATGTTATGCTTGTTGTCTTCACGTATTTTATTTTATCTGCCTTCCCTGAAGGCATTTTAAGATTTCTTTTTTTTTTTTTCGCATTCTCCCTCCATTGTTGCAGGCATTTGAGTGTTCAGTTTGTGACTTGGATTTATGCTGTAGTTGTATAGTCTAGAATGAAAGCCTTTCATACTTTTTTTTATTGTTATGTAATAACATTTGCTTTAATCTTTTTTTTTTTTTTTTTTTTTAGTTTTGATGAAACAAGAACACAGAGAGGAAATTGACTTGTCATCGGTTTCATCATTGCCTGTGCCTCATCCTGCCCAGACCCAGAGGCCTTCCTCAGATACAGGACATCCATGCGACAGTGTACTGTCAACACAGAGAAACTTGGTTTGTCCCATCCAGCAAACATACACATCCATGGTGACCTCATCTCATCTGCCACTGTTGCAGTGTAGGGATGAGAGCGCTGTTAAAGAACAGCATATGATACCTTCTTCAGTCATGCACCAGCCTTTTCAAGTCACACCAATACCTCCTGTGGGGTCTTCCTATCAGCCTATACAAACTAATGTGTACAGTGGACCAACTTGTCTTCCTATTAATGCTGTCTCTAGTCAAGAATTTGTTCCCGTTTTGTTTCAGCAAGATACAGCTCTTCCTAGTTTAATAAATCTTGGCTGCCAACCACCGTCATCCATACCTTTTCATTCTTCAAATTCAGGCTCAACAGGACATCTCTTAGCCCATGCACCTCATTCTGTGCAGACCCTGCCTCATCTACAGTCAATGGAATACCATTATTTAAACACAGGACAAAGATCTCTTTCTTCTCCAGTGGCTGACCAGGTCACAGGTCAGCCTTCCTCTCAGTTACAATCCATTACATATGGTTCTTCACAATTACGGTCTGCTACAACAGTTTCCTCAGCAGCTTCTCGTCCCCTGGCCGGTTCACCACTTTCTGGACCACCGTCTCCTCAGCTCCAGCCTATGCCTTACCACCAATCTCCTAGCTCAGGAACTGCCTCATCACCAACTGTAGCCACCAGAATGCATTCTGGACAACATTCAACTCAAGCACAGAGTACAGGCCAGGGAGGTCTTTCTGCACCTTTATCCTTAATATGTCACAATTTGTGTGATCCAGCTTCATTTCCATCTGATAAAGCAACTGTGAACATTAAACCTGAACCTGAAGAGCAGGAACCTAACTTTTCAACAATTGGTCTACAGGACATTACTTTAGATGATGGTAAGTTCATCTTTATATTCTTGAAGCAGTGAAGATCCAGGAACTTCCTTCTATGAGTCATGAGAAAGCTACGATAGATGGCTTATTGGCATATGGTTGGGCTTTTCAGTAAGTTGTTATTCAAGATATGTTGATATATGATTTTGAGAATAGACGCGGAAATCTATGCTTTAAAGTCTATTTTGCCACTAATATCTGTTGCAAAGTGAGAGACCTTAAGTGATAATTTACCATGCATTTGTGATGGAACTGAAGACACGAGATTTACTGAGCATCTTTTCTTCCAGAACCTATAGTTATGTCACAGTGTCTAGAGAGTGGAATTCAGGGGAGTTAATTCAGTAAACATTGTTGAATGCAGGGCAAAGTTAGATGCTGGGAATACTAGGAATGTATTAAGATAGAGTTCCTGTCCTTGAGGAGACTCACACATTTAAAGAACCTGCTCTTTTGTGGCTCTGCTAGCTTGTTGAGTCAGATAGTGGAGGTTGTACAGGGTTGGACTGCTTTGCTGCTGCGGGTACAGCTGTTGGCACCAAGCTAAAAAGAAGATATTTATATAAATATAGCAAGTTGTTATGTAGACCTCTGTTTTTATGAAATCAGTATATTGGGAAACAAAGTCTGGAATATTAATTATTTCAATAATTGAAAATTTCCCAAAATAGGATTGTCAGTTAATAATTTTAGGGCTTATTCTTGGCATTATCATCATTTACATGGTAGTGAACTTTTTTTCTAAGTAGGAATTTGGTGAAAGTTACCTTTAAGTGTTATCTAATATGAAAATTCTAAGATTCTGAAACATGGATATAGAATTTTAATTCTCTGATTTTGCTTGTTTTTATCTTTTTAAAAATGGATTCAAGGGGAATAGGGGGAGAGAGAAACATTGATTTGTTGTTCCACCTATTTATGCATTCATTAGTTGATTCTTGTATGTGCCCTGATGAGGGATCAAATCTGCAACCTTAATGTTTCGGGACAACACTGTAACCAACTCAACTACCTGGCCAGGGGATACTCTCTCTGATTTTTTTAAAATTTATCTTTATTATTGACTGTATTACAGATGTCCTCCCTTTTTCCCCTATTGACTCCCTCCTCCTCGCTCCCACCTTCCTCCTGCCTTCCCCACACTATTGTCTGTGTCCATTGGTCATTCATATATGTATATAAGTTCTTTGATTTATCTCTAACCACTCCCCTATCCCTCTTCCCTTTGAGGTTCCTCAGTCTAACAACCAGTTTGTACTTCTTAATCTGCTCACCTTTTTTGCCTATACCCCTAACCCCCCTCCCATGTGGAAACCATCAAAAAGTTCTCTGTATCTATGAGTCTGTTTCTGTTCTGCTTGCTATTTTGTTTGTAGATTCAATTGTTGATAGATATGTATTAATTGTCATTTTATTGTTCATATTTTTGTACTTCTCCTTCAAGAAAACCCTTCAACATTTCATATAATTCTGGTTTGGTGGTGATGAACTTCCTTTAGCTTTTTCTTGTCTGGGAAACTCTTTACATGTCCATCAATTCTAAGTGATAGCTTTGCAGGATAGAGTAATCTTGGTTGTAGGTCGCTGCTTTTCATCACCTTGAATATCTCTTGCCACTCCTTTCTAGCCTGCAGTGTTTCTTTTTTTTTTTATCCTCACCCGAGGATATTTTTCCATTTTTTGTACAGATAGAGTGGGAGGGAGAGAGAGGAAGGGAGAGAGAGAGAGAAACATCGACGTGAAGGGACACATCGAGTGGCTGCCACCCGCACGACCAATCAGGGCTGGGGACAAACTGCAACCGAAGTACGTGCCCTTAGCGGGAACCGAACCCGGGTCTCTCCGGACCGCAGGCCGACGCTCTAACCGCTGAGCCAAACCGGCCAGGGCCTGCAGTGTTTCTTTTGAGAAATCAGCTGACAGTCTTATGGGAGCTCCGTTGTAGGTAATGAACTGCTTTGCTCTTGCTGCTTTTAAGAGTCTCTCTTTGGCCCTGGCCAGTTTGGCTCAGTGGTTAGAGCATTGGCCTGCGGTCCAGAGAGACCTGGGTTCGGTTCCTGCTAAGGGCATGTACCTTGGTTGCGGTTTGTCCCCGGCCCTGGTTGGGTCGTGCAGGTGGCAGCCACTCGATATGTCCCTTTCACGTCGATGTCTCTCTCTCTCTCTCTCTCTCTCTCTCCCTCTCAATCTATCTGAACAAAAAATGGAAAAATGTCCTCGAGTGAGGATAAAAAAAATAAATAACAGATTCTCTCTTTGTTTTTAACTTTTTGCATTTTGATGATGATGTGTCTTGGTGTGGACCTCTTTGGGTTCATCTTGTTTGGGACTTTCTGTGCGTCCTGGACTTGTATGTCTGTTTCCTTCACCAAGTTAGGAAAGTTTTCTGTTATTATTTTCTCAAATAGGTTTTCAATTCCTTGCGCTCTCTTCTCCTTCTAGCACCCCCATGATGTGAATGTTGGCACACTTGAAATTGTCCCAGAGGCTCCTTACACAGTTCTCATTTTTTTAAATTCTTTTTTCTTTTTTGCTGTTCTGATTGGGTGTTTTTTGCTTCCTTCTATTCCAAATCGATGGTTTGTTTCTTGGCTTTACCTACTCTATTATTGATTCTCTGTAAATTATTCTTTATTTCAATTAGTGCATCCTTCATTTCTGACTGGTCCTTTTTTATGTTTTTGATGTTCTCCTTAAGTTCCTTAGAGTTCTCACTAAGTTCCTTGAAGTTCTTCCTAAGTTCCTTGAGCATCCATATAACCAGTATTTTGAACTCTGCATCTGATTGATTGCTTATCTCCATTTTGTTTAGTTCTTTTCCTGGAGTTTTGTTCTGTTCTTTCATTTGGGACATGTTTCTTTGTCTCCTCATTTTGGCTGCTTCTCTGTGTTTGTTTCTATGTATTAGATAGAGTTGCTGTGCCTTCTAGGCTTCATAGGGTAGCCTGTTGTTGTAGGTGTCCTGTAGGGTCCAGTGGCATAGCCTCCTTGATCACCCCAGCTGGGCCCTCCAGGTGCACCCCTAGTGTGGTCTGTACACCTTTCTGTTGTAACTGAGTCTTGATTGCTGTTGGCACATCAATGAGAAGGATTTACTCTAGCTGATCCGCTGCAAGGACTGGCTGTGCCCACTGACCACTGGCCTCTGACTACCTTGGAGGATCAGCTGTGCAGGGGCCCCACCACACAGCACAACTTACTTCAGCAGGGCTCTGGTACCCACTGAGTCCACTCATTGACTGTGTCACTTGTGGAGGTGGTGCTTCGATGTGGTCTGAAGCTGTCCACTGCGTGTGCTGGCTGTGGGGCAAGGTCAGCCATGCCTGTGTCCTACCCGGGACCACCCGGCATAAGCTACAAAGTGATCTGCCGATGGCTGCTTCTTGTGCTGGGCTGGGAGGTGCCCAGGAAAAGCCAAGTTGTGAACCAAGGCTGGCTGCTTCTAATGCCAGGCCTGGGGCCACTTAAAGAGAGGTATGGGGCTTGCTGAGACCAGATGCTGCTTGTTTGAGAGATTTTAGGAAAATCTGCAGCAGGATTCAGACAAGCCAATCCTAAGGTAAAGCCATTGGAAACAGCTTGGGTGGGCCTGAAAGTTGGGTGGGTCAGGGCCTCAGGGAATCACTAGGGCAGGGCAAACAGTGTGATCCTGGTTGCTGGAGTCCCAGATATGGTGGCTGTCTGCCACCCCGCCCCTGGGGAAGGGCTCACCAAAGGAACAGTGGCCTCCACCGGCATGTCTGTCTGAGAGAAAGCTGCCTCCCCTCCAAGCTCAGAGGGAGAGAGTCCCAGTAAGTCTATGTGAAGGTCCTTTAAGAGGATCTGCCTGGGGCTTCAGAAGCCTCAGTTCCCGCTGGTTTTCACGGCCAGAAGTTATGGGAGCTTTTCTTCCTGGCACTGGAACCTTGAGCTGGGGGACCTGGTGTGGGACGGGGACCCCTCACTTCTCAGGTAGGACTTTCACAGCTGAGGTATCCTGATTTTTAGTGGTTGTGGCACCAGCCTGTACCCACCTCCGTCCCTTTTACCTATCTTTTTTTTTTTATCCTCACCTGAGGACATTTTTGCATTTTATCTTTAGATATAGAGTGAGAGGGAAAGAGGGAGGAAGAGAGAGAGAGAGAAACATCAATGTGAAAGAGACACATCAAGTGGTTGCCACCCACACAACCCCAACCGGGGCCAGGGACAAACTGCAACCGAGGTGTGTGCCCTTAGTGGGAACTTAACCCGGGCCTCTCTGGTTCCCCGGCCAACACTCTTAACCGCTGAGCCAAACTGGCCCGGGCCCTTTTACCTATCTTGATGTTGCTTCTTTAATTTTATGGTTGTAGTACTTTCCATTCAGCTTGATTTCGGGTCGTTCTGAATGATGGTTTTTCTGTAGTTTGGTTGTAATTTTGATTTGGTTGTGGAAAGAGGCAAGTACTATGGTTACCTATGCCACTATCTTGACCAGAAGTCCGCTCTTTCTCTGATTTTGTATCAACCTATAGAAAAGTAATTTTTTTATCCTCACCTGAGGATACTTTACCATCTGTTTTGTTGTTGTTTTTTTCAGATAAAGTAGGAGAGAGGGAAGGGGTAGAGGAAGAGAGAGAAACATTGATGTGAGAGAGACACATCAACTGGCTGTGTCCCCCCCCCCCCCCCCCATGACTCTGATTAGGGCTGGAGATCAAACCCGCAGCCAGTGTACGTGCTCTTGACCGGGAATCAAACCCAAGACTCTCTGGTTCTTGGGCCGATGCTCTAACTGCTGAGCCAGTCTGGCCAGGGCTAGAAAAATAATTTGAGCTCAGCCATCTCCTTTACACATCTAAAGAGGCTGAGTTTACTACTTAATTGTAAATCTGGTATTAAATCTTAAAATCCACAAATAAGGGAAAAGGAAGGTGCTTCCCCCACCAAGGACTTTTCCATCAGATCAGTATACAACTATCAATGCAGGGGGTCTGAGTCATTACCAAAACATAACACTTTAGGAGATCAACAGAGATATG